TAAAATTCCTTATCCGTTTAGGCAAATGCTAATTGTCATTCTTAGCCGGTACTTCAAGATTTAACTGAATAAAAAGACGATAATATAGAAGTTATAATGATAATTTGCTTTGGATTGTATAGATTCTAACACAATATTTAATTCAGATTCATCCCAAAGTATATTTACACATACCTTTTTTGATCTCTTATATCGATTATATCATCGATCTCGAACTCGCTTTGGTGTCCAATAATCAGTATATTGTGACAACTTTTCCACCAGCTTATTTACAACTTCTCTGGGTAATATAGTGAAGTCTTTGTATGCTTCAAGCTGTTTTAGGTATTGTTCTTCAACCACTGTGAATTTGTATTTTGTTGGATGTGATGTTTGAAGTGTAGATTTGGAAGACAGACTGATCTCAGATAATGGTATTGATTGCAAGTCTTCTTTATTGATTTTTTCAACTTTCATATTAATTAATTCTGGATTGATTTCTTCAACTTCCATATTAATTAGTTCTGGGGCTTGCACAGAACTGCTGTCTTCTGCTTCTACTCTTATTTCTGATATGCAGTCAGTCTTCTTCTTCTTCTTTGTCAGCTTTATAGGTGTCAGATTCTATCTACCTCATCCTACTTTCACTTGGAGAACAGTATGATGAATATCTTGCTCAACTATGATGGTTATTTTTTCGATTCCTGATTCATAGCAAGTAAATATTTGTTGGAAACCAACATCTATCAATTGTATATCTTCTGCAAATAAGGGATGTGATTCTGGCTGTGAGCTGCTAAATCCTACTTTGAGTTTAGTAATTAATTTCCAAAGAGCTTCTTGATGATCCTTAACAAATCATGAACTTCTATTCACTGACCGATCTTCAGCAAATTCTGAAATCAACAAGTTAAGTCAGTCATATTCTGCTTGTGCTGCTTTGATATTCTGTTTTAGATTCTCTGAATTAGTCATCTATTTGGTCATATTTTTCTTTATGAACTTCACTCTGAATGTTTCCAGAGTCTTGTCAAAAGCAAAATAATACTTTTTATGTGTCAAATTAATTGAAGACACCATCCAAAGAGCTTGAAGAAATTCTGACTTGCTTTAAAGATCCGACAAAAATCATGCCACAGATACAGCATATATTCTTTTTTCTGTTATAGAAAATAAAGAAGTAAATATCATCAAGCTATGTATTTGCAGATCAAAGTTTGTCATGCGAATACCAAGCTTATGCAATTTCAAGTATTCTACCCATTGGTAAAAGTTATACCATACTTTAAGCAGATTGTTATTTGTTGTAAGGATATCACTAATAGAAATATTCTCTTCCTGAATATATAAATAGATCACAACTTTAACTGCTACCCAAATGAGCTCAAGTACTCGAAATGTTGCTCAATAATCAACAACTTGTTCAAGTCTGTTGAGAAATCGAATACCAAGCTGTGCGACAAGTCCAAAAAGTCCATAACCAAAAAAATAGCAATTAGTACACTGCACATTGACTTATTAGTATGCCATTGTCCTAAAATACAATATACTATTTGCTCTTCATTCTTGTAATCTTTCATGCGATGATAAATTGCTTCATCACACATCAAATGTAATACACTATTCTTCATATAACCAAAGTCTTCGAGAAACATGTTAACAGTCTGATGAATGTACTCATTTTTGCTTGGAGCTTTTCCAGGCTCAAGAATCACAACATTTGGAGGTGCTACAAATAATGCTGAGCCAATATATTTTTTAATAATTGCATCAAGGTGTTCAACACCAAATTTCTGTTCTTTATTAATTAATTGACCAAAGACGGTATTAACTTTTTCTTGCCATTTTTTCATAATAGAACTTCTGCCAAATAGATTTGAATTTTTCAATGATTCTTCATTTACATTGGCAAGTGCTGAACATTGAAACTGAAAGATCATCTGCAATGTTGCATGTGCAGTACCACGAGTTACATCAAAAATGTTGTCATATTGAAAAGTATTATCTTTTATATTGATATTGTTGATAACTGCAAGATTTCAAACATTCAGATGCAGGTTGAGCCTTGATCAAGATTCTGCAACTAACATTTTTTTTTGAATATGCACCTTATGATCTCTAACATATAATACTACCTGAACTGCATGAAGAATTTTGTGCAAGGATCCTATCATTTTTGATCATTAACAAAGAGAAGAAAGAACATGTGTAAATCATATTTTTCAATGGTAAAAGACAACAGTAAGTAAAATAGAAGTGAAAAAGAGAGGTAAGACTTTAATTTTTTTTTCATCTAATTATAATAAAGATAAGTTTCTCTTCTTTCATTTTCTATTTAATATTTGATTCCTCTTTTCTTCTAAAACTGAAACCAAACCAACAAAAAGATTTATAAGGGGTGACAGCATAGCATTATAGTATTCATCCAGGAATTCTAGTTCTTCGAGTGATGGTAATTTTTGCTTGAGTTCTGATTGTACTTGTAATACAGAGTGAGCAAGTATTCTTCCAAAGTTCTTGCATGTAGTGATTTTCAATTGCGTTGCTTGTGTTTCTCATTAACATCAATTTTTTTGATAGCAAACATTGTTTTGATTAAAAAAAGACTTGGAACTGTGGAAACAGTAGAAGACGTACCAATGATATTCTGTATTTCGGATATATTTATGATAAAATTATCAAAAACATTAACAAGCTCTTTTAGTAAACTAACTTTTATAGTTTCATTATTTGATGTAGCAGTCTGTTTAATCTATTTACCAAGCAACTTCAAAGCAAAGATAGTATCAGTATTGTGTTGCTCTTGTTCTAAGCATGAAATTGATCATTTTTCTTTTCCTGGATGAATATATAGATGGTCTCCATATATTACAAAGCAGTTTGTGCAAATAAAATGAGGATGGTCATCAGTAAATGACTTAGTCAACAATCTATCATATAAAGTTATTGCTGAACAGTTGAATAATCCATAGCACAGAGCTTGAATTACATATTCATATACTTTTCATACATGTATTGAACATGTTTTATCTCTTGTAAAAAAGCATTGAAGTTTCTTGCAAAATAAACAATGGCTTGATGTAATAATGCTTTCTTCAGTTGTTTGTATCATCTTTATATATCTTCCTAACTCAGGTTTGTGTACAGTATTTTGATCATAGTTGAGATAACACAAACAAATACCCAACTTTGAAATCTCATTTCCAACTTCTTGTACAGCTTTAGAATCAACTTCTCACATACCAGAAAGTTATTCCACACTACGAACTCCTACATTGTTGCACCTTTGAATTATGTGTTAATTATTGTCATTATCAATAATAATACAATATGTTAGTTTAATAGCATGATCTGCAAGAGAAGAAATGATCCTTTCAAATTTTTCCTCAAATATTTCCATCTCATTATCACTTTCGATGAATTCATCATCTGTTTTCTTAGTATATCTGGTGATTATTTCTCATGCTCTCTTAAATAAATGCCAGTCAAATGTGAGAACTCCTTTATTATATGTCATTGTTTGTTCAACATCAATGCTAGATTCTTGGTTAAAGTCATTATAAATCTTTTCTTCATGATCAAGCAAAGCTTTAGATAAGAATTTCATAATTTTTTGATTTTTGATTTATTTAATATAATAATTTGAATAAAACTAATGTTATAGCACTTTGGCTTACAATGTATACTTATAAATGTATATTGCAATAATAGTATTTGGTTAACAATTATTATTGCAATTTTCTTTTTGAATTTCTATATATATTTATATATATATTATTATTATTATTAGATAAGAACAATATATATAATTTTATCAAGAAAAGATTCTTTATTTTATGTTTAATACTTAACAAATACACATTAAAATTTATTATTAACAATTATCATTACTATTCTCATCATCATTTTTTACAATTATATTATTATTTTTTACAAATGCTTTATAACTATATACATGTATTGTTACCGTAGTAACATAAATTTCTCTAATTCGATAATCTTTCATTGATTATGCGAAATTCCCTTTTTCTTAATTTT